TTTTTTTTTTTTTTTTTTGTGGAAGTCTCACTCTCGCCCAGGCTAGAGTGCAGTGGCACGCTCACAGCAACCACAGCTTCAACCTGCTGGACTCAGGTGATCCTTCCACCTCAACCTTCCAAGTAGCTGGAAACTACAGGCCTGCGCTACCACTCCCAGCTTATTTTTTGATTTATTGTAGAGACAAGGTCTCACCAAGTTTCCCAGGCTGGTCTTGAACCCCTGAGCTCAGGCAATCTTCTCACCTCAGCCTCCCAAAATGCTGGGATTACAGGTTTGAGCCACCACACCCTGCCGCTGGCATTTTTAAAATGTTTTCTCACAAGGGTATTTTTAATTTTTGATTAGGTCTGTATTTTTAATTTTGGTGCCTCAGGGTGAGTGTTCCTTGCTCATTTTAGTGATCTGAACCAAAGTAATCATTTGTCCTCATCACCTTTGAAAGCCTTCCCCATGGTTCATACCTTGCTTTGCATCTGGCTTTACTTAAACAAAAGGAGGAAAATAAATAAACTTGAATTCTCTATCTGAAGTACCACTATTTAAAAATCCCAATCCAGTGCTTAAAAAAAAAAACTTGTCCTTTACACAGTTTGTTTGCCCTTTTATTTAGAATCTTGCATCTCTTCCCACCAGCATTAAAATGGACAGTCGCCTTCTCAGTTGGACCTCCTGCGGGCTCCTGGACATCCTCCAAGAGCAAAGTCAGGTGGGCAGGTGACGTTTAGGTGCTCAAGGGCTCTTCCTGCTTTGGGCAAACTCTTCTTTGTACCTACTTTGTGCAAAGCCCTGGTGGGAATATGCAGCTGGCTCCTGCTTTAAAGGAAATTATTGAGAGTGTGAACTCCACATACCCACCAGGGATGCTCTTGGTGGCAGGAGCTAAGTCTACCTTGGTGACCAGTTGCCTTCTTCTTCCCCCCGACACAACTCTTGACACACAGCCCATGCTCCAAGGATTTCTTGAACGAATCGATGAAATACATGATGGGTACAAATAAACTATGGTTCTTGTTCAAGTGGAGAAAGACTGGTTCCATCTGAGAAGGACCAGAGAAGCCTTATCCTTTCACCTCCTCCTCCCAAAGTGCTGGGATTATGGGTATGAACTACTACATCTGGCTTAGAATTGTGATTTTGAGCTGGAGGAAAAAACCATTATCTAATATGATTCTTTGATTGAATAGATGAGGAAACCAAAGGATTTTGACCTGTCCAAGTTGGGACTCCAGATGGTGATAAGCCTTGAATGAAAGGTTTGAGAGCACATCAGCAATGGAAAGTAGAAATGGCCCAAAGAAGTTGCTGGAAGCCCCAAGGGACAGGAAACACAGCAAAGAGATGGAAACTAAGGATTCAAAAGTGCCCGGGGAATTTAATAATCAGGGCTTTAGAGCAGTCTCATAGAGAGATGGTTGAGGCAGAAGTTCAACTTCGAGGGGTGGGAGGAATGAATGGGAGGTGCAAGTGGGGAAAAAAAAGATGGTGACAGAGGTAGACATGGGATAGCAAGAGTCTGTTGAAGGAAAGGGGTTGGATGCATTCGTAAATCAAAAACTTGCTTCTTTGAAAGAACAAAATAAATCTTGTGAGCCTGATTAAAAGGAGAAGAGAGAGAGTGAGCAAAATCGTAGAAAATTGGGAATGAGAACAGAGAACTACAAATATGGCAAGATCAAATGCATGCACATAAATTATGCACCCATATCACTCACTCTGTGGTGGCCAGGCAAGGAGGGAGACACTTTCTCTGAACTTGAGGGATGCAAATGATGTGAACTTACTAGACCTGTTACCTTATAACCCAGAGTCAAGACCCCAGTGCCCTCTGTTTTCCACCCCCTCCTCAGCCGCCCAACTGCTGACTGCACCCCAACTAGCTGTTCTCACCACCTCCACAGGCCTGAATGCCATGGAGGCTGCGGTCTTCCCAGCTTCTCGCTTCATTCACTGCCCCCGAGGGGCAAATGTGCATTCAGGCCTTCTTCCTTTTTTTTTTTTTTCTGAGTTGGAGTCTCACTCTGTCGCCCAGGCTGGAGTGCAGTGGCCGCTCCCGGCCACCGCAGCCTCGACCTGCTGGGCTCCGGCGATCCTTCCGCCTCAGCCTTCCAAGTAGCCGGAATTACAGCATGCGCTACCCAGGTCCAGCTGATTTTTTTGATTTATTGTAGAGATGAGGTCTCGCTGCCCAGGCAGGTCTCGAACCTGCGGGCTCAGGCAATCCACTCGCCTCAGCCTCCCAAAGGTGCGGGATTACAGGCTGAGCCACTGAACCCGGCGGGCCCTCTTCCTTTTAAGGGTTTCAGGCAAATCTGTGGAGAGAAAGGTCCAGAGCAACCCAAGTCACGGCAGTTTTTGAGCTGATGGTTGATCCACGGTTTCCACACTTCCTGCACAAGGTCCACAGTTCCTGCTACTCATGAAGACAACAGAATCCAAGCTGCCTTCTGAGGAGCTGTCCTTTGTAAAGACTCCTTCCTCTTCCCAGCAGGACAATCAGTGCCCCTTAGTGTCAAATTACATGTGTTAGTTTGAATGCAAATATAAATGTCAGCAAGTTGAATCTAACTGTGAATGCAGGAAATAGTACAATATGACCAAATGAAATGATCTGTAGGCTTGTTTTTTTTGTTTGAAATACCTTCTTCTGTACTTATAAGTTATCAAAGACATTCTGGTTTTACAAAATAATTGAGAAGCTTTTCAATATTTTTATATGACCCAAAATAATGAAACACTGAAATTATCTGCTCTTACAGGATTAGATAAAACTCAGACATGATACATCTGATTTTAGGTCTTTGTTAATGGTAGATTTGGGGGCAACGCCTCTGAGTCCCCTCCCACTATGGGAACTTTTCTGCCCTCTCAATAAATCCTGCTTTCTCAAAAAAAAAAAAAAAAAAAAAAAAGGTAGATTCTTAGCACCTTTTAACTCTCTGCTGTAGGGACCAGTCTATGCAAATTTTCTAGTGCAACCTCTTCAGAAGACAGTGTGGCGATTTCTGAAAGAACTAGAAATTGACCTTCCATATGACCCAGCAATCCCCCTACTGGGAATATGCCCAGAGAAACGCAAATCATTCTACAAAAAAGATAGCTGCACACACATTTGTTGCAGCTCTAGTCACAATAGCAAAAACATGGAACCAACCATGCTGCCCATCGAAGCCGGACTGGATTTTAAAAAAGTGGTACATAGACACAATGGAATATTATGCAGCCATAAAGAAGGACAAACATATGGACTTCGCAGCAACTTGGAAGGATTTAGAGTCAATCATACTCGGTGATATTTCACAGAAACAAAGAACAGAGCACCATAAGTTCTCACTCATAAGTGAACTTTGAACAATTATCATAATACTATAAGAAAAGGATCAGCAGTAGTGGGTAACTGCCAGGGGAGGGAGGGGTACACCCCATCAACAAGGGTACCTGCATAATCAGCGTTTGTATACCTCAGCGCTGAATTGTACCCCACATCTTTAAAATAAATAAATAAAATTTTTCTAACTCTTCTTATGTTCAATTGATTGCATATCTATCTAGAAAATTATCATTTTCTCTTGGCATTCAAGTGTGTCACCACAGAGTGATATGGGTGCATAACTTATATATTTAATATCTTCTGTATTTGTGATTATTTCTCTTTTCTCATTCCTGGTTTCCTGTAATTTTGCTGTCTTCCCCTTCTCCCATTGATCAACCTCATGAGAGTTTATCTATTTTATTCTTTTAAAGAAACAAGTTTTTGCTTTACGAATACATTCAACCATTCTTTTTACTATATATTTTATTACTTGCAGCTTTTATCTAATGGCTCTTTCTAGTTTCTCTTTTTTATAAGAATGATCATTTTAATAATTTCCTTCAATAAGTAGCTGATTCATTTTTATTTTTCAAAGGAAGGGCCTTACACCTATACATTTTTTCTCTGAGTGTAGCTTTCTTGTCCTATACATTTTGCTATAAAGTGTTCTCCTTTTCATTCTTTGCTAGAAACTTAGAAATTTCTGTTGTGATCAGGAGCGATCACTTTTGGGCATTTTCTCATAATCGGTCTTCCATTACTGACTTGAAGGAACTTATGTTTAATGTGACTATGAAATATCTTAACAAAGGCATCAGAGGTGTTCAACTGCCCTCCCCAGAGTCCCGTAAACCCTGATACCTCATACTCACACATTACTTCTAACTAAACTTAGGAGCCTTCTTTTCACAATTAAAAAAAATATATATCTTCAATGTGAAATTTCAAGGACAATGTTAAAATGTTTAAAACACGTCTATGAGGCCGGGTGCGGTGGCTCACGTCTATAATCCCAGCACTTTGGGAGGCCGAGGTGAGAGGACTGCCTGAGTCCACGGGTTTGAGACCAGCCCGGGCAACTTGGCGAGACCTCATCTCTACAATAAATAAAAAAAATTAGCCGGGTGTGGTGGCGCGTGCCCGTAGTTCCAGCTGCTTGGAAGACTGAGGCGGAAGGATCACCTGAGTCCAGCAGGTCAG